CTGCGTGTTAGGCCATGGCAAAATTGCCCTCATTCAAATGAACTCTCTCTATCTCCCCCTAAAAACGTAGATTATAGCTCAGATCATTTCTAAGCTCTGGCTCACACCTTGGCTGTACAATTTGGGCAAGGGGGATGGTGGAGGCAACACCATTGTGAAGATGCAGGTGTTTAAGCTGATCTTGTATTACAACAAATTATTCACTTTAATGATTCAATCATTCACAACAACCTGCAGGGGTGACAGCAGAAGGCAAAATCCCTTGTCTGGTTGTGCTAACCACCAACCCAGGGGTCCTCAGGCTTCAGCTGTGGACCACCAGGGCCGTAAGACGTGTAGAAAAGGGCTGTGAAGTGATTGCTGACTTTCCTCCCTGTGCTGGACAACCAAACACAAACGTGTTCTCAAGAGTGAAAGCAAAAAGGAAAGCCAAATAGTGTTTTGGGAAAACTGTGCAACAAATGAATATGCATTGTAGCTGCATTTTATTGCTGGTCTTCTAAAAATAAGGGAAACGTGATGGAACATGCATAAGGTGGACTCTGGGCCTTCCTCAAATGGGCTCCAAGAACCTTTAGCTGAAAAAGCTGTGGAGGCAAACTGAATGACTCTGATATTTATGCCAAGCTTTTAATAAGTGAGGGGTAGCAGCTGCAGGACTAACCAGGAAATAACTGAGTAGCCGGTGCTTGACCAGCTTGTGGAAGGTGTTCGTGAGGAGCTGGTGACTGAGCCCTGTGATGTAGGTGGTCCCTTGCAGCCCTACGTGCCTGGGAATGGCCGTGGCTCCCTCCCAAGCGCCGTCGGCACTAATGTATTTACGTTCCTTTCTATGGTATGTGAAGCAGCTTCGCTGGAGCCAACAGGTTTTATACCTGGAAGTCCCATAAGTGACTCCCACGTGAATCTGAGGAATTCACCTAAGCACCAAGATGGTGATAACACCAGCAAGGTCTGCAATCACTGGCACCGTCTTGCTCCATGGAGAGAAACTCAGCACCATAGCACAGCAACAGGTTACATCCCCCTATCCCTTATTCCTATTTTAAAGTGTTTTACTCCTGAACACAAGGAAATCTCCCTGTCTGCTGGGGAGCATTTAGCAGAGGAGTAAACAGGTCCTCCTCTCCTTCTCTTTGTGTTCAAACATGGGAGTTCACATCCTCTGCCTCTTCCTCTCTGCTGCTGGCCCCCTGGAACAGCAGAAGCACACCCCAGGGACGGCACAACAAACAACACCGAGGGGCGGCAGGGGCGAGAACAAAGAACCCTTCAGCCCTGTGAAAAGGTTGTCCTGGAAAAGGGAGTCAATCCCAAGGCAGTACCAGTGTGGGGGACTAAAAAAGCACCAGGAAAGCAGAACAAAAGGGAAGATAGCGAGGCTTCAGTGGTCTTCTCATGCATTTCTTAGACGTCGTGCGTATGTGGATTCCCATATGTATATTTCCAGTAGGGAAATATGAGCCTTGTTTATAAAAATTACAGGCTTGCTTCCGAGTTTAACCTCTACCCTTAAAACAGCAGTCTAGGAACTGCTTTGTGCAGGGCAAACCGTTCCTCTGGCCCAGCTTGGGTTTCAAAGGAGTAAGCAATTCTAGATTTTCTCACCTATCTGCTACCTGCTTTTGTCTCCCAGGATCCCAGTGAATGGCAAAAGCTTTGCAAAGAGCTTCAGGCCTTGCTGTGATTGTATCACTCCCATCTTGGCATCCACACACGGGCTCCTCTTCCTGTATCCTTCACACTTCCAGTGCCAAGAGCCTTGTACCTACCTCTGGCACTTACCCTTGTAGCTACCCCTTCTAGTTGTCCTTTTAACTACCTCTTGTAGCTGTTTCTTGTAACTACCTCTTGTACTTACCCTTGTAACTACTGCCTGTAGTTATTTTTAATTACATTGGTTGCCTTTGTACCAGCAGCTCTTGCTGGCTGTAGGCACAGCTCCCAAGAACTATGTGATGCCTATGATAAATATATGTGTCTAAATGCCTAAACCATGCAGTGTAAATCAGTGGAAGGGTAGGTATTTGTTAAATACATATATTAGAAATGCATGTGTGTATATATGAATTTCAATGGTGCTGTCCCTCCTTAAGGCTGGAAGAGGCTTTTATATGTATATGTGTATGTATATCTAACCCTTCCGCTCATTTACACTGCATGGTTTAGGCATGTAGGCATACACAGTGGTAGACAGGAATTCAACCCCAAAAGAATTGCATTTGCAAGACTGTTAAGTTTCTTCATAGGAAAGGTATGAATTGGAAGGTGTGTGCAGAAGGACTGTAATTAGGAATGTGCTGTTGGCCTCTTGTCCTGAGAAAAAACAATGCCAAATTGGGTTATATTTCAATAGCTGAGATGGTAAGCACATCAAGGTATGAGGATTTACATTTCCCATTTGCATTTATTCGTTGGATATCACAGGGCAATGAAAATTAATACCCTATTATGCCTGGGATGGGAACCCTCATTCAATGGCTCTGCTTTGGTACCCATAACAGTCCACCGCAGGCTTAAAGAAGGACAACAGCATCAAAATCATTAAAACTCTTAACTGAAATACATTCAGTTTTATAATGTTTTCCCCTCTCTCAGGCAAAACTGCTGGGAACACACAGAGGTTTGCCCAAGCTTGTACTGCTGCATCAGAGCACCTGATAACAGAAGAATCACATCAGACAGTTGCATAAGTATGAATTTTCTTGCCTTGAATCCCTTGTTTCAGTTCATATGATTCATTGAACAATTCCACTGGAGCCTGTAAATAACCTCCCCCCTCCCCCCCCCAATACCCTAATAATTCTCCTGAGATTGAAAATGTGTTTATTTTGACTCAGAGATTGTAAAACCACAGGAATAAAACAAGTTTAGGCTGCCAGCGCTTTATTTAATATCTTGTTCTTTTGCTGAAGCTCTGAGAATAACTTCAGTTTCCTGCCGAAGAAGGAAACAGTGTTTTCCTTGACTTAAGTAAATACGACTTCCCCACTCATACATTTTCCCACTGCTGGAAATAGGCGGGAATTTTCCCAGTGCATGAAGTTTGCAGCCCATGCACAGGAGTTTGCTCTCCACCCAGTTCACATTGGGCTGGCTTGGAGGGGTTGGAGATTCCCAGATGGAGGCTAAGTCCTTATGGGCACACAGAGGCTTGGCAAAGCAAAAAGAAGTGCCCACCAGCTCTCAACAAGGACATGCCCCTGACCAGAGAGCTCTGACTTCATTTTGACCTCAAAGCAATGCTCCGTGTTCATTTGTTTTTTTCTATGATTTAAGTCATTTGGCTGTAACGTATAATCAAGACTTCCCTTACTGAGAGGAGCTACAGCAAGAACTGAGGGAGTAAAATACAGGCTAGCCATGTAATGGGAGCGTGTGAATGTGGGATGGGAAGCACAGAGGGAAGGACAGAGGTGCAGTATAAAAGCAGCACTGACATCGGGAGCTATTTCTCTGGCGTGTATATAATCATACCGTAATATCCAGTTGGGAGAACGTGGTAGAACATTTCAAACAAAGGAAACAGCCGGTGCCTGGAGCTCCTCTGCATATTTATTACATCAACATAATGATACAGAGGACTAGAAGAGAGGCAGAGGCTGGTGTTACGAGCAGGCGAGGGTTGCTACTGTGTGTAGCACTGCCGGGAACGTGCCTGGCTCAGGCTTGGTGTGGAGGCCGGACTTTGGAGAGGATACTGGTGAATTATTGAGGGTTTAGGGAAGCATGCGTGAAAAATGATGCTTGAAAACCTGGCTGGGGTGAGCATCTCAGAAGTTCAACCAAGGAGAAGAGCAAGAGGTGGCTCCATCACAGCTGGGTGGTCCCCACAGCAAGGAAAGGGCTGCTGATGGCAAACCAGTCTTTCACTGAGCCAGCAGAAATGATGCCAGGGCTGGAATCTCAACCCAGATAACATCAGGCTGAATGGGAGGTGGAAATGTTAAACCATTTCTAATCATAATCCTTTCTAATGGGCAACTGTGAAGACTGCTCAGGGAGGCAGGATGCTTCTCAGGGCATTTAGATGTCTTTTTCTCAAAGGTGTACTCTAATGCAATCAGGGAATTACAGGCTTGATGCAAAGATTATACAATTTAATTATCTAGCTTCTGTTATGCAAGAGGCCAGGAAAGATAACATTCCTGCCAGGCCTTTAATCGATGATGTGCCTGTTTGCAAAGGCACTGAGTGATTTGGGTCTCTGTCAGTTTTCAGGGGTCTTGATATAAGATGCCTGGCTTTCCATGGAGAGGTATCGTCTGCTTCTGGGAAATCCAGCATCTTCTAAGGCTTCTCCATCTATCTACCCCAAAATGAGGCCATTTCCAATTGCTGTTCACATCTGAAAATGTTGTTCCCATCACTGCACGAACAAATGAACTCCAGATTTTGAAAACTTAAACCCCTAGGAACCCCTAAACCCCCACTTTTTCCATACAGACAACTACTTTCCTATAACTTGGCTCTGTCAGACAAAGATTTCCCAGTGCACTCTCACCATAAATGAATCTTTTCACCTGAGGAAGACATCTATCTGCTTCCCTACCAGGGCCATTTCTCTTTTCGCTGCACTCCCAGCTATCTTGCAGGGTTTTCATCTATTCATCTTTTTTTACTCTTCTTTCTATTACTGCTGAGGTGATGGCAATTCCCTGTAACAATATAATCCTATGTAATTTATCATGGTAAGACTTTTCTGCTAATGCAATGGGGTCCCTGTTAGCTGGAAAAGAAACTTTTACAAGCAGGAAAAATCAGTGTAAGCCATATAGATCTTGCACACTACTGCAGCTAAAGAGCTGACGGGGGAAAGCTCGCCTGCTGCTGATAATCAGTGCAATGTATCGCTGCTGTGGTCTACTTATAACCCTTGAAATGAGGTTTTAATTCCTGAAGCCTTGCACAAACAAAAGGCTTGCAGAGAGGGAGAGACAGTGGGGTGGGGGGAGAGGAGCAGTGACCTTTGCAAGTGAACTCGCAAGGAAACAACAACGTGCCTCAGCCTTAGCCTGATGCTTTATTATTCTTTTTTCTCTCCGAATGGAGTTGGCTGTTGGAAACCCAGAAGCTCTGGCTGTCAGACACCGGCCAGATCCCGTGCGCTTTGTTAGTTCAGTGTTCAAACCCAGATGAGGCCAAGTCACGTTCAGATTTTAGACATGGCAATTGGGTCTGGGTCCTCGTTGTTCTGGACTGTATTTCTGGCTACCAGGTACCCTAGAAAATATAAGGAGGTGGCCAAGGTGATGAGCAGGTTTTATCGCTGGAGTAAACTTTACCCGTGCTCTGAGCCTGGCGTCCTTGTGCGGTGCACTGATTTCTGTGCTGGATCTCCTTTGTCTAGAAACCCACAGATTAAAACACTCAGAATGAATAACAGTGAGGAATGAGGCCTGTTATCCTATATATATGTATATTCTATATCACATATCATGCATGCAGTATTATGATAAACGCTTTTCTTTTTGATGGTGATGAGACATGAAAAATAATCTAAAAGCCCCAGTGATTCCCCAACTTCTCTGCATCTCCCTCAGCTTCTTCCTCTTTTTCTCTTCTTGCTCATGAAAATGTGCAAAACTGGCAGGCTGAGGCTCCAGTCTGGGGGTTACCATCATCTAAAAACCCATTTATTTCCCCCTTGCTCCAGGCTGCTTGCCACAAGCACTATTTCCCAGTGTGCCCCCACCTCTGCAGCAGAAACCGCCGTTTGCTGCTATGGTGCTTGTGTGAGAGCCTGCATTTCTGAGAGCAAACAAAGAAACACCCAAGTTGCTGTCGCTGCATCTGAGCTCTTCCCCATCAACTCCCTGGCTCCACAGAGAGCACTCCCATTTCAGCCCTTGCTGGAGCTCCTCGGGGTAAGATTGCAAGCGCCAGGGAAAGACACATGTTTCCCATTATACGCCTAAGTCTTCGCAGAGCCCTGGTGACAAGAGATCTTACAAAAGAGCACTGGGTGGAAAGGGGCCGCAGGTGGGGGAGGGACTCATTAGAGGGGCAGATTCACAGGAGGGAACCCTGTTATTAATAAAATGGGGGGGGGGGGGGATAGAAAGAGAATAATAGAAACACTTGTAGTCGTTGATTTTAGTAGAAACAAACAGGAATCATTCACCTTATGAAATGCTCTCCCAAGCTGGCCAGGTCTGGGAATATGTTGCTCACGGTGTATATTCAAATGCATGCTGAATCTTACGAAGCTGCTGCTGCAAAAAAAAACCATTCATGCAACACTTGCGTTTATATAAAATACTTCATTTAACCCAAGAATAATTCCCAGCACGGCTTTCACACACCGCTGTCCTTTTTCCTCACCCTGCTTGGAAGCATTCCCTTGTTTCCAGGGTTGTGTTACAGTCCCATTTGTTTCTCACTGTAAAACCAGCTCATTACGTGGCTCTTCCCATCCCTGCTGTTACAATACAGCATGCAATTTTGCATTTGCTTATGACACACCACGATCCGAGCAATATAAATATCATGGCTGATCTGGTGTTAATCATCTTCGTCCCGTCTGATGGGAGGGCAATTGAAACTACACTATTGCTCTGCAGGTTATTCATAGCATCAGCTCACTAATTTTTACTGGAATACATTCATATTTGAACGACATGTTTATTGGAACTTCTTTTGCAGTCAAAGAGAGTTATTGTGGGCATGGGCTAAATGCATTCAGCCATTATATTCTGCAAGCCGCAGTTAAATGCCAGACTAGGGTTGAACTGGGTTTGAGCAGCCTTATCTATAAAATCTCCTTCATGTGTCACAAAAGAAGACTGCCTAAAGAGTCTACAGCCTACCAGCTTAATATATTAGCCTAATACATTAGCTCTTAGCTTAGTATTAAAATAACAGTAATTGTCAGAGGTACAAACGTTGCGGCCAAGCAGAGAGCACTTGGAAAACGCAGCCCTGGAAGGGAGCGGATCGTCAGCCAAGAGAAATAAATTACCTTCAGCTCCCAGCACACCAGCTGTATCTAAATCAGATTAAACGTACGGTGTCTGCAGACTGGTTTTATCTCCTTGGAAGAGAAGGAGGGTTTGTGGTGCCACTCGATGGCAGGCGGCTATTGAGGGCGCTTCGTTTTGCAGAATCTTCTGGGGTTGGTAATCACCTGCCAGGCCAGAAACCGAGATCTCCTGGTCCTATCTCCCAAGGAAAACCATCTCTTCTTCCATTTTCTGTCTCCATATCACATTCTAAAGTGGTGGTTGCTTTGCATGACAGTGTGCCATCCTTCCGCTCAGGCACTGTCTCTCTGAGCAGCCACTGATGCTCCAAGCCCAGCTCCTGAGGCGCCACGGAGGTCAACCATGGAGGATATCCATTTGGGAAGTGAATTCAATGCAAAGATCCTTTTCTTTGATAGTTTTTATAGCCCAAAACAGTTGTGGAGGACTGGTATCTATATGGGCTCCATTGGAAAAGAGACTCCTGACACTTTCCCACCGTGATGGCTTTATTAGGCACATTAGCACCTCCATGCCAGATCCTCCTTCACTGAGAGCAAAAGGGCCTCACTCTGGATGGGTTTAATTCCTCTCCCTGCCCTTGGGAGCTGTGTAAAACAGAAAACAACACACATTTCAGGTTCGCTGGGGACACGAAACTTGGCCAGTCTTGCACAAAACTCAGTGGAGACACAAATCTGTCCTGGGAGCTGCCAGCAAGCACAGCCCTGGCCCCCAAATAATCACTGTTACGCCTCGCAATAAAATGCTCTGTTGCTTCTGCAGGACACGAGGGATTTTAGCCTCCAGTTCAGGAGTTTGCAGTCTGCAACCGTTTGCCTTGCAGTAGCCCAGCTGTTTTGAGGGGGAAAAAGAAAACCAACCCGGTGCAAAGCACAGAGATCAGCAGAGCTGATAACGTGGCTTTTGTTGTGAGCCTGCCCCTCCTCGAATGCAAAATGGAATGAATAGAAACCAACCTAAAGTAATTAGAGTTGCAAAGTGCACCTTTGGATTTAAAAGAACCTGGGAGCCAGTCTTCCTTTTGTCCCGTTTGCAAACTCAGAAAGGAATAGCCTGTGCTAGTGAAGGAGGACAGGACAATAACAGCAATAAAAGCTTTCATGGAGTCGATTCAGACAGCTATTAAATGAAGTGTAGACTTGCAAAATGGTGAGAAACAACATCTCGAAGACCTCAGTTCCTTGCTGACACCAAAATGTGTACCAAAAACTGAAATAACTCCCACTGGGATATTTTTGCTCAAACTTTCCACAACTACAGGCAAAAGCCCAAAGCACTGCTGACTGCAAAACACGAATGACATGAACAACTCCAAGTATTGAAAACTGCTCAGAAAGAACCAAGAGGAGGCTTTTTTTGCTGCTTTTTTTTGTTTGCTGTGTTTGTTTGGTGGTTTGATTTCCAAGAAGGCAACATTTCTGATTCAAAAATGAATTTATATTTTCCCCAGACCTCAATTTTGGAATGAAACGGGAATCTGATTAAAAGTGATGTGCAATGAAAGCGTACAACCGGATAATGCAATATAAATGTCTGCCTTAAGAATATAAAGAGGGGGACATTTTTAGAGACTCTTCTTTTTTGGTTCTGCTCTCTTGAACTCTCTTTTTGTTTTGCAAGTCTCTTGCTAGAGGCACTGACAGTGAAAAGACTCCATGCAAGGTTTAAATATGGGCAGGAAACTTCCCACATGAGGACAGGCAGATAAAATTGCTGAAGCATCAAAACTCAGCCCTGATTGCCAGGAAGTGGATGTGAGACCAACACCTTTCAAAGCTGCTAAAGATAGGAAGACAGCTCGTGTCTTGTCCCACAACTGGTCACAATCCAGACATTGGGGGATGTAAGTATTTTAAACCCTTTTTGGAGAAGTAGTTAAAGTGGGAGTCTTCTGGCATGCAAGATGGCTGGATGAGCCATGTGTTTGTGAGCAGCCTGGACCAGCTGCACCATGACCATCAGGGATGGAGAGATTTGGCCATGAACTCTGATACACGTCTGGGGTTCCCACATCTCCGTCGAAGGGCCTTTGTTTCGAAATGCACTCACTTTCATACCACAAAGTGTCTTATGATGTCAAGAAACCTTTCTTCACGAGAGCTTTGTTAGAAAAAGTTTGTTTCCATGAAATGCTTCTTTTTGAAGAATAGAAGATAAATAAAGTAGGAGTAGTTCACCTAAAACTTCCCAGCTGTCTCCTCTCTATTAAGTTTTGGGCAACCTCATGCTAATCCATTTAGAAGCGTAGATAGGTAGCTATGCCTCCTCCTTTGAATAAGGTCCCATGGGGTTCCTAATTCCTGCCACCCCCCTCAGCTGACCCCTACTTTGGGACAAAAAGGTTTACCTTTCCTGCGCCTCATTTTCTCTGCTGGTAATAATGGGAAGTGGCGATTACTGCCTGCTTTGATGAAGTCTCCTGTGATCTACAGATGAAAAATGCAGTGTAAATGCAAGGAATGTAATTATTATTATCACCAAAGAAGCTGCCTGGTGACCTCGGAGCTGGTTTATAGATTCATAATTGCTTTAGATTGAAATGGCAATGAGGCAACATGTTGAAACACGCCATCACATTCTCAGTATACCCAATCTGGTCTTGGGGGACAGTAAATATTGCCAACATGGTTAACCTGTGTTTCAGGACATGGCGATATCTTTGCCTTTGATAATCTGAGCTCCAGCTGCCCCAGTGATGCTGGGATTTGGAAATTCCCAGTCAATACTCATTCTGGCACACAAGTGAGGTTAGTTTTCAGCCCGTGTTTTGCTACATCAAATTGTGTGCAGGCCTCAGGAATGAGAACCAAATACTATTTGACATATACAGAGGGTATTTAATTTCAGAAAGAGCCTTTGTGTATAGTAGAATCACACAGCAATGAGGAGCCCCTTCCAGCCTGAAGAACAGCTGTTATTTAATAGTATATGATCACTTTATGCTGCCTTTGAAAATAGAGGGCGAGGATTCGAATGCTGCATCCTGTTAAAATTACAGGAGAAGCCCCTATAGCCTGAAAGCCATTTTCCAAATGGGAGTTTAGCTGTAATTATGGGTCAAACAACTCCTCTTAAGTAAAAAGTCCCCTTATTTAATGATGTGACATAGCATGGCTGTAGGGGCTTTGCTTTGCAGCAGTTTTTTCCTACCTCTCATTTATTAAACTAATCTGGCCAGAAGGGCAAAACAACACAACCATAGGGAGGGCTATAAATCTTCGTGCTTTTGGGTAGAACTCAAGCCCTAAATAAAGAGAGGTTGGGAAGCCACTTCCTCCATCAACAGGTTATTCCATAATTATCCTCTCCTGGGCTTTCTCCACCTTCCCCTGCAGCCTGTAGCCAGAGTTAGAGCCAAGATCCTGTACAGAGTGGACACACCACCAGGTCCCCTGTTTCCCAGCGCTGTGCAATGCAGGCTCTGTTATCAGTGTCCTCAGGATCTTCCCACAGCTGAGACAAAAGGTCTGGGGTTATTTGCAGATGTCTATAATTTGCAGGGTCCTCCCTTAGTTTGATATGCTCTTAAATATAGGACTGGGAACTCCTGTGCACAGTCGTCCCTCTTATTGCTTGATGTTTCCTGTGTACAGGGTGTGCTGTCAAAACAAATACTCCCCTATCCTTGTTTACCACGTTCAAGTCTTTGGCATCTCATACATCAGGCCCAGCTTCTTTGCAGCTCCTTATAATCATGATTGCTTGAATAGGACCTCAAAGGCTTTTAGCTGTTCTTTTCCCCCCAAGAAAATGAACCTGATCTCTAGGATGTGACATCCAGCTTCTTTTCATGAAAACAGTGGCTAGAAATCCACTTATCCACTTGGTAATATCAGGATCATCTATCATTAGCTTCCAGCCCATCCCCCTGTAGCCAAACTGGCTCCTGGCTGGTTTCCTCCATGGATATTTCAAGACTATCGTAGTATTTATCTCTCCTTCCTTTGCTATTTGTGTGCTAGATCCTCAGGCTTGTGTTTCATCACTGTTTTTGTTGTTTTTCCCATGTTTCAGCAATAGACAGTACTTGCTCGCAAGGCTGTGGCTAAAGAAGGGGACCCATGTGCATGGTAGGACTGGGACTGTTGCATCCTGTGACTGCTCCCAAGGTCCCATGTCAGGTGGGGCTGGGGCTTATGTGTCACACCAGACCACAACCTCTGTGGTGGAAACTATTGAGCTTAGGCTGAGTTTTCTCTCCTTTAGGACCACAGGCTATTCGGGACTTGTGAGCTGCAAGGGGACAAACCTGATGATTTATCCACTAAGCCACATAGGCCCCTCAAACAGCTCCTTAATGTGAAACATGTGCTGCTGAGCCCCAGCAGTTAGTTCTCACTTTAACTTAGCCCCTGTTTGCTCAAATGCGGAGCGCATTTGAACAGAGGTTTTTTGGTAAGGAAAGCATCATTCCTGGAAATCTTGTTGCTGTAAGAGCATGCTCTGTCTGCTGGCGCTTATTTTGACTCTGGCCTTAGTTATTTACAGAAGGCAAAGGATGTTTCACTTGACTTTTATCTAATTATGATGGACTTATGCAGATTAAGCATTATATGACTTACGCTATTTATGGCAAGCACAGTGTCTTGGTATCAGAGCATGGGAGCGTGCAGGTCTCATGCTCAGGACATGGGGCCCTTGCATAAAAGGTTATTTAGACCCTGTGCTCGCAGTTAGCACCAGCTCCTACTAAAATCTGCAGGATCAGAGCATCTACATAACCTCACAGAGCAGCACTGAGATTCCCAGACCTTTAGGTACTTGGCAGGTGCCACAGAGCAAACTGCATTGGAAACCAGAGCTGGGTGACTTGCATCACTGGAATCATTTTAATCCCCATACTTCATTATTGTTGGCGTATTAACTCCCACTTCACCTCTCTGCATTGCTTTAGAAACAGGATATGGGTTGTTACAACAAATATCACCTTCCTCCGAGGTTTTAACACAGGGATGGCTGCATCACTTCTAGCATCCTCTAAACCATTAGGAGAGATTAGCTCAGGGTGTCTGCACAGCTTGGGGCAAGGAAGGAGACAAGTAAGCTCTGGTAAGAAACCTGGCAGCTATGCCAAGAGGACCAGTTTTTCTGAGCTCAGGAGCAAGGCTCCAGGCAATATCTCACCGGTTGGGAAGCCAATACACTCACACAGATGCTGCCTCGGTGAACACAAGCTTAGCTCACTGTACTTCTCCTACCCAAGCTGGTGGGCAGACCAAGAGCAAGCCTATGCTTACTATGCTTGCTTAAGAAGAATAAATCTCCTTTTGCTGTTTGCACTATGTCTTGAAGTACTAAAGAAAATAAAAATATGCTCCTTGAATGCTCTGACATTATAAGTGATGGAGTCAAGGACACTTCTTCTGTGCTTAGTGCCTACAACTATGTAGGGCTGCACTCTCAATGGGCAAATAGATTTGCACAAAAATGTTTAACATTTCCTTATGGGGCTTGTTTGGAATTTCCCATTCCAGAGGGGGAAAAAATAAAATAAGAAGTTAATATTTTGATTTTCTGTCTCAATTCAAAAGGAAAATACACAGTAAAATATTGGAATTTCTCAAGGGAAACCCCAAACTCAAAGCTGCCTTAAGAAAGCGAGGAATGGCTAGGAGAAACCCCAAACACTTTTGATAACTAGAAATACCAGCAAATTGGCTTCCTTTGCATAAGGTTACCTACCTTGGCTGTTAGTGTAGATAATGGGAAATACCATACTAATGTCCCTTAAGGATACACTTCTCTTCTCTGTACCCTTGAGGATACACTCTTGACAGCCACCCAAAATTCCTGGAGTACCTAAACCCAGCCACGAAAGGTTTTTCCATAGGCAGAGAAGAGTGTATGTATGTACTGCTTCAGAACCAAACCCATTTCCATGCCCCAGCCTCACCCCACTCCTGTACATGTTGGCATCGTACAACTAGTTTGTCTCTATGTGTTCTTAAGCTACCTTCTGTTTCATAAACCCCTTGATTGCCTGGCTTTTTATCTGCAAAAATGTATGTATTTTCCTGCATAACTAAACATAAAGCACAGCAGCTGATGTATGGTTGTGAACCACACCCTTCCCCATTGCAGCAGTGAGTGCAGGGTCAAGTGGAGCTCAATCCAAGCAGTTTTTCCCCCCTTCTGTACTTAAGCAAAACTAGCTGCTCATAAATATAACCAAATTGGGAGAAAACATCCTGGGGCAAACTGAAAGCTCATTACAGGTCCAGTGCTGGAAATGTTTTTGTTAGGTTCCCATTAAAGCACAATGTGCATTTTGGGAGGTTGGCTACAGGCAGCCTGT